TGTTGCAATCAAGCCTCCTATTCTATAATCAGTTTCGAAGTGATTTGGAGGCAAAGGGATTTGTTTTCAATCCGTATGACCTGTGTGTTGCTAACAAAGTTGTTGATGAAAAACAGCAAACTATCAGATTTCATTTTTCTAACAATTAACATCTTCCTCCATAATAATTACCATCAACCGTTCTTGATTGTTGACTGTTGATGGTCGTGTCACCATATCCGGAATTTGATCCCTTTGTCAATACAGACAAAAAACGCAACATTGTTGATAAACATATTGTAGATGCATAAATCCAGGTTCAAATTGTCTTTCAGGAGTTCTTTGGGCATTTTGATCCAATCATCAACCACTGCCTTTGGAGTTGGTTGCTTTTGTTTGCCCTTAACTGTTGAAAAGCTCGGTCCATATATCTCTTCAGAGATATTAACATCTTTCTCCATAATAATTACCATCAATCGTTCTTGATCGTTGACTGTTGTTGGTCATGTGACCATATCCTTGTACAAAGGATTAAATTGCAGCAACACATTCTTTTGAAAAATCCACCGGTTTTGTCTCACAATCATATGTGGACTGTAATATTTGAAATTCCCTCCTTTGCAGGATAAAAGTTACTAACCTTTGTCACATGCTTGAGAAAAGCAATAGTTAAAACCTTGGGAATCGCCTTGAACACCACTTGATGATAGTGTGCTCAGAATAATCCTTTCAATGTTTGATTGCTGCACTCAATAGTTGGTTTGTGTCCGCCAGGCACGGCATAATTCATGGTCACGTCCATGTTATCTTTCACATCATCAAATACCGGTTTGAAAACCTTTTTGCAATAAATAGTGTTGATTCAAAATTCCCCATGATTGTAAATGCGTAGAATTTGTCAATTGACTTGTAAATAGCATCTTTGTCCGATCTTTCAATTCAGTACAGAATTGGAATTTGATCGCTTTGTACAAACTAGTCACAGATTCAGATATAGCTTCAATTCTTATCTTTCTCTGTCTCTGTACATGCTTGAACTGTACTCCTGTCCGTGTCCGATTCCACAAATATCCGACCTCAACTGTCCTTTTGTTCATTAGAATCCCATTTCACCAACACACTCCTGTTGTTTTGACAACTTCAGGTGCGACAAGGAATCCTTTCTTCATTTAATATGTAACATATATACGATATTGACCTTTTTGATCTCCTTGGATCAATGCACAAAACTTGCGGAACTTTTCTCCTTGCAGAGGTTTTGTCATATAATCCCCCGACATGTCATCTGTCGGCATGTGTTTGATGGTAAGATTACCTTTCTCAGCCTGATCGGTGACAAAGAATTAACGGATGTTCAATGCACAGCTTCTCTTGCCAGCACTTGACCTTCCATTCTTTTGTCGGACAGTGCTTTTTTGCTAGACGGACACAGGACGGACGATGGAAACATGGATGGGTGTGGTTATGCCTTGTGTAAGGAACTACTTGGGACGTGCATTGAAACATGGACATTAGTATAAAGTCTACAGGACTATACAACATGGTGCAGGTTTGGCCTAGTAAAGTAGATGTGTGAGATTCCACATCCATGCTCAGTAATCTGAATAATACAAGTATTGAACAGAAAGTACAGAATAGAAACGTAGCATGCAGTCAAGGAGCCTTCCAGCATACTTTGAAGTATAAAACGGGGAGACCCTTGACTGGTCCAGTAAGGCAGCATGTTGATTGTTGTGATGATCTTGTTGTTGTTGTTGTGGATTGCTGAGGCGATGTTGTCTTCGGAATCCAAGAGAATGTATATCCCAACATTCAACGGAGAAGAAAGTGAATTTCAGATGTGGTGGATGCAATATAAGGCGTATGCCACAATTGCTGGCTTTGCACTTGCAATCCAGAGGACAAGGGATCTTGATCTCCCACCAAAGGAGGATGAAGTTCTTGCAGATGATGCAGATGGAAAGAAGATGAAGAAGTCATGTGATCCGAATTCATTGGCAATGGCAACGCTGACAATGGCGTTCACTTCAGCCTCAATGATGGGAATGATTGCAGATGCAGTCACGGCAGATTGGCCAAATGGCCTTCTGTACAAGGTGATTGACAATCTGTTCAAACGATACAGATCTAGTGATGTGATGTCAAAGGTCAAGATGAGATATGAGATGGATCGAGTAAACATGAAGAAAGATGATGATCCAAACAGATTGTGTGAACAGATCAGCCAAATTGAGAATAAGTATGTCACCCAGAAGTTGAGTCTGGAGGACTTACTTGCAATTGTATCAGATGCTGCACCTATTGAATATGGTGCAACAATCACAGCAGAAAAAAGAAACAAAGGGAATGCACTTACATTGGAGGACATCCGAGAAGCGATGCATGCGCAATGGCGTATCATGTACCCGGCAGCAAAGACAAAGAAAACCTCCACAGCCAAAGAAGTGGAACTTTCATCAGTGGACAATGCAGAGGTGATATGATACTGTTGTAGGAAAAGGGGCCACGTGGCTTTCCAATGTACTGAGGATAGAGAATGCGGAAGGAACAACAGAACTTGCAACATGTGCGGCAAGGTTGGTCATAATGCGGTGAATTGTTGGTACAATAAAAGGAATGCGCGCAAGGCGCCAGAATGGTAAGAAGATCCAAGATGAGAAGAAAGATGGGGGCAATGGTGAAGAGACCGGTCACACGAACATTGAACTCCTTTTGTGCTCAATAGAAACTGACAAATTGATCAAGGGGGAACCTCAAGGCATGTAGAGTTGCCATGAGATTTTCGAACTGCTCAATGATCCCAACATCTGGATTGCGGACACTGGAGCATTGGTAGACACAACGCCATATCTTGACAAGCTTGAAAATGTAGTGAAACTTGAAGACGGAAGGGGTGCCAAGAACGCTGATGGAGGGACTGCAGGCATAAGGGAAGAAGGTGACGCGCCAGGGTTGCTGTGTGACAAATTTGGCGTTCCTCAGGTGGAAGTTCAAATGAAAAATGTAAAGGGAGTGCCTGGCAACAAGTACAACACACTCAGTATCACCAAGCGACTCATGGAAGGTTGGAAACTGTGCGGTGATGACAGCATGTTGACATTGGAGAGAGAGGGCATGATGTTGAGATTTGATCTCAAAATCCCAACCTGTGACGGAATAGCTTTTGGAATCTCGATACATTGAGATGCAACAAAATTTCATGCGAGAATTGAAAGAACAAGGATTGATTGAAGTGGAGCAATGGTGGGAAAGTCAAAGAGATCAGATGGGCGATATCTTCTCAAAGAAACCTACAAAGCCTACATTTGAAAAGTATCAATCAGCTATTGACAAATACACGATGAAAGCTGATGACAATGAAGCAAACAAGCAGAGGAGAATGTCGGACAGTGCTTGTTCGCTAGATGGACACAAGAGGGACAATGGCACATATTGTCTTGGTACAAGATATTCTTCTCAATCCGATAACCCTGTTCTTCCATGAACATGTGTGTCCAGAACACTTGTGTGATTGCATCATCTACTCCGATTAGTACCACATGCATGCTGCTGCGGCTATTCAGCTTTTGTTCTTTCTTGGAAATAGCCTGCATGGCTCCACCACCCTTACTCTGATTAGTACCACATGCATGCTGCTGCTATTCAGCTTTTGTTCTTTCTTGGAAATAGCCTGCATGGCTCCACCACCCTTGGTCGTCACTCCTCCTGTGTGACTCTTAAAATCAGGGTGAACTGCGAAAGACACATCGGCAAACCATCTCATCACTTGAAGGTTGTCAGTGCTCAGCGCGAGATGCCACTTCTTGGTTGAGTGCATGTATCTCATTAGTCTTGCGAGTTTATGCCAATCACTTTGACTTGGGTTTTGAACTTGTGACGCCAAAATTGCCACCGTCAGATGCATATCCAGACGCGCACGTTTGGTCAAAAACAAATCTTTCATGACAAATCTGTGAAACTCAGTCTGTTGGTCCTTTTCTAACAGCTTCCCTTTTCATGCCTCCAACAAATTGTTGCCAGCAGGTGTCTCCTGTTTGTTGTCTTCCTCAAACTTAACAGAAAATTTGTCAAGCATTCTTTGGACATGATCGTCCATCCAAATTTTCAAATTTCCTTTCTTTGAATAATCCAGTGTCCAGTGTCATTCCAAGATAGGCGTATTCATCCCCATGTACAAGTCACTTCCTTTAGTCCTCCGTATTTCTCATTTATCCATGTAAAGAAATCTTCAAGAAGTTCTTGTGCCATGTGGCTTGCTAGCACATCACCAACATGAAACCGGATAGTCAGTTGCTTCTCATTGACCATCATATTTGCAATACACGGATTGTTTATATGAAACCCGAATCCGTATTCTTCCAATGATTTTGATACCATAGCAACAAGGCTGCGACATCCCATAAATAGCACGGAGGATCACAACATAGATCGCTTGACGTCCATTTTTTGTTACTACAAAATCCCAAGAAGTGGGATCTAGGTCAATCATATAATCAACCAGCAGTCCAGTAATTTTCATTATCTCTCAATCTTCTCCTTCATCCTGTTTGGGCACCAATGTTTGAATAAACGCGTTAGGTATATCCATTGACATGACGTTTCTACCTTCATGGGCATCAATTACACCCGTGCAGATAATTGCTGTTTTGTGCAAAGCTGTAGGACTTGCAGTGTCCTCAAGAGACAATCAATCTGGGTCTCGTTACCTTTGAATATGCAACGTCTGTTGATTGTTATGCCATCATTCTTTTTGGCCAGTAACATCATCGCATCCACTGCCTTCTTTCTTTCAATTGTTTTCAGTTTCTCAACATTGATTGGTGTCCAGCAACTACGCTTGATCAGTTGGTCAAGTTCTTTCATGGCCGCGTCTTTACCTTGTTGAATATCTTTAATAATAACTGAGACATTAATCATTAGGCTGCTACTCTATGGGCATTTGATTGCCGGTGAAATATTTGGCTGTAAAGGTCAAGTACTGTGGAGCGGTGAGTCAACAACGAGTTTGAACCATGTGAGGCATCTGCATAGAGACAGAAGTTGCTCAAGTCATGTCTTAAGAATGACTTCTCCTGCGGCAAGGCGGGGTGAATTTGGGGCACTTAGTGTCCCACAAACGTTGGGAGGCGTTCAGAAGGGGGAGCAGAAAAGATAGACCAGAGGCTATGGTGTTGAGCTTGCAGGGAGCGAGGATTGGCCTTGCGTTCCAGTCGAAGTAGCTTCAGCCACTCTTCCTTGTCCACCAGTGACTTACAGAGGACGCTGTGACGGCATGTCAGCATGCATCTAGTATCCAGAGGTAAATCAGTTGAACCCATATCAAACTGAGAGTGAACCCCCTTGTTGACAGCACAGTGAGAATCATGGAGCTGAACATTGTCATCCAAATATTGAACAGCGTTCCGTGATTCCCACATATAGAACCCAATGGAGATGAGTTGCTGGGAGAGACGGAAAGCCCACAGAGAAACTCAGATTGCATGTTAGAAGTAAGCGATCCACTGCCACCTGCAATCTATCTGTTCAATTGACTGCAATTTTGCTGTCCAGGTATTGTTGCCTTCTAAGTATATGAATTTTACAGTATATAGAAGTATATAGATCTATCAGAAATCCTACTTTATCAACCAATTCACTCGTTGCTTGCAATATATTATAAAAAGTGAGAACAATCTGTCAACTTTTGACTTTGACTCTTCCTTCTCCAGCTCAGTGGAAATTCTCAGAATTCTTTCTACGTCAGCCTGATATGCTGCAAGTTCAATTTGCTTATCCGTTCACCTTCCACTGTAGTCAGTACTTTGATCAGTATCCAACTTGGGTTCTTGCTTGAATCTTGCTTTCTTCCATCACATCATCAACAGAATGATTTCCATAGAAATATAAGTTGTTTTCTGACTCGCCACGCACAATATTTTAGTCGCATCAGTCATCATTTTTAGTCGTATCAGTCGACATCTTTTCTCTACCATTCACATGTATTCTCTTTTTCTCGTTTCTCCAAATATGTACTTCAAAAATCCTAATATATCCAACACACTCCTGCTGTTTCATTAACATAGTTGATGACAACGGAACATAAAAGGAAATTGTGTTGCTCCTAATCTTGTTCTCCTTGGATCAATGATCTAAATTCCAAGAACTTTTGTCCCTGTAGAGGTTTGCTCATGAAATCTCCCCACATCTTTTCAGTTGGACAATATTCAATAGTCACATTTCCTTTCTTGACTTGATCAGTCATAAAGAAATATCAAATGTTCAAAGCTCCGCTTCGCTTTCCAGCACTATCAAGTCCATTCTTTTCCAATAGAAAAGAACTCTTGATATCCTGATATAGGATGTTCCCTTCAATAGGATAACCTTGTGCTTCCACAAACAATTTTGTCCACAATATCTGTGTCGCAGCATCATTGACACCAATCAATTTGGCTTCTGTCGAACTTCGACTGTTCAGCTTCTGCTTCTTCAAGATTATTTGTAATCCTCCTTCACCCATAGTCAATACACCTCCAGTGTTACTTCTGAAATCTGGATGAACTGCAAATGATGCATCAATATACCATTTGAAAGTTCGTAAATCTTGCACTCAGCGTCAGGTGCATTCCCTTTGTTCCATTCAGATAATACATCAGCTTCACTAGCTTTGTTGGGATATGACGAAATATGAGTTTTTATGTTCCAAAAAAAACTGTTCAAGTACAATTGCGATTATTATGTTTGGTTGGTCTCATTTTTATTCCATCTTGAACATAAGATTTACCACTCCTGGTTTTCCTTGCACTGAATATGTCCTGTTTATTCACTTCATCATTTTTATAATTATCATTGTCACTTGATTCGTCCAAATTATTGTCAGATTCATCATTTTTATTTTCATTATCATCCAAATTCGCCACAAATTTGCGAACATCATTGACTTGATTTTCACATTCTTTGATTTCATCTTGAATTTGATCAATTAAATCGTCATTTTCCTCATATGTTTTGCGTGTTTCTTTGATTTGTTCTTCATCGTTAAGTGATTCGACATCTTCTTTGTCTTTTTGAATGTCTTCTTCAATTTCTTGAATCTGTTCATTTAAATTCTCATCATTCTGATATTTGTCATTTGGATTGGGATCTTGATTGGAATTTTCATCATCATTTCTCCGTCTCAATCGTTCATAAATACTTGCAACACTCCTGTCTTCTGTCTGTTCTTCAACATTTTTGGTGTGTTCATCATCATAGTTTTCAATAAATTCTTCCGCTTCTTCAAGTAAAGCATCAATTTCATCTTGATCAATTTTTTTCATTACAAAGATTTTCATCGCTTTGTTTGTATTCATTTTTGCGTGGAACATATGTATCATCCCACAGTTCATCGGGCCCACTCCTGCGAGCAAATCACAATCCAATATGATTTCACCATTCTTCCAATGATAAGTGCGCAAATCACGAACGCCCTTGTCGTGTGTCATTTGTTCCACAATTTTGATCACTTGTTTGGTGATCGGAAGTACCGTTATGTAGGGTCTTGTAACTGCCTTTTTTGTATTAAGATCAAGTAACATATGTCCCGCTTGTATGCTGTCATTCACTTCAAGATAAATATCATCAATTGTTCTTGATCCTTGACTGTTGTTGGTCGTGTGACCATATCCTTGTACAAAGTATCCAATTTTAGCAACACATTTTTTTGAAAAATCCACCAGTCTTTGTCTCACAATCATATGTGGACTGTAATATTTTGAAATTCCCTCCTTTGCAGGATAAAAGTTAATAAACTTTGTCACACCCTAACCTTTGTCACATGCTTGAGTAAAGCAATAGTCAAAATCTTAGGAATTGCCTTGAACATCATTTGATGATAGTGTGCTTGGAATAATCCTTTCAATGTTTGATTGCTGGGCTCAATAGTTGGTTTGTGTTTGCCCGGTGCGGCATAATTCATGGTCACATCCATGTTATCTTTCATGTCATCAAATACGGGTTTGAATGCGTTGTCGCAATAAATAGTTTTGATTTGAAATTCCGCATGATTATAAATGCGTAAAATTTTGTCAATTGACTTGTAAATAACATCTTTGGTCCGATCTTTCAATTCAGTACAGGTTTGAATGCGTTGTCGCAATAAATAGTTTTGATTTGAAATTCCGCATGATTATAAATACGTAAAATTTTGTCAATTGACTTGTAAATAGCATCTTTGGTCCGATCTTTCAATTCAGTACAGAATCGGAATTTGATCGCTTTGCCAATACTGCCAAAAAAGCGACATTGTTGGTAAGCATAATGTCAATGCATGAATCCAGGTTTGAATTGTGTTTCAGGAGTTCCTTGGGCATTTCGATCCAATCATCAACCACCGCCTTTGATGTTGGCCGCTTTTGTTTGCCCTTAATTGTTGAAAAGCTCGGTCCATATATCTTTTCAGAGATATTAACATCTTCCTCCGTAATTGGACAATTTTTGAAAAAATTTCCCCCAATCGCCAACTTGAATAGTTCTGCACCAGGTGCTCCCATCATATGATAGCCACTTTGTGCAACATTTGCTCGTTTCACTTGTTTGTTTGTGAAACCCTCTTTGTTCTTCTCCACACTCTGTAGCGCACAGTATCCTTGCACATCATTATTATCAAGTCCACGTTCATAGTCATGAAACATTGCTGTTACCCCAGCAGGTTTGTCAACCAAAGTATATAATCCATTACGATGTCCAAATCGCCATGTAGTCCCGTTTCTAGTCACAAAGAAGCTGTTGTATCTCTTTGTGTCCATAAATACATCAAACCCATCTTGTACCATATTTGACAAACTGTTGATGTTGTCGCTAGCTCGTGTGTCAAGCTTACAAACAGAATCAAATACCTTATCGATTCCTTCTTGATAATGTTCTCTTCCCTTGACATTAGAGGCATAATGGAATCCTCCATGAATTTCTTGTAGACTTCCTTCTTTAAAGTCATCTTCATTGGTTTGCACATGAAAAGTAGATCCACTATCCAAGTGGATACCAGTATTGTTGTGTTGAAATAACATCATCTCTTGTTGTCTTGGATGATTGTCAGTATGTCCTTGTTGAATAAATTGCCCTCCATGGGATCCATTGTTGGAACGTCCATAGTTCCATTGAGTATTTGATTCACCTGATTCATCATCACACGTTGCATTTTCATCACGTTGCATATTTTATCTATTACCACGACCATTCTTGTTCGAATAATCCCTAAATTTGTCCGGGTTTTTCCACTGTTCCCGCGTCTTCATTTTGTCCGCACATTGAGGTGCGACATGATCTTTTGATCCGGACACAAAACATGCTCGAGTTTGTTGTTGCAAAAACTGAGCTCCGTCATTTTGATTGTTATTTGATTTGTTTTGTTTGTCTTGTCCATTCGAATTTCCTCCATTCAAATTCTTCTTCTTGTTATTGTGCTTGTGTTGATTAAAACATCAGCAGCATTTTCCAAAGTAGTTGGAAATGTACAACGTTGTTGGGATATGACAAAATATGAGTTTTTACATTCCAAAAAGAAACTATTAAAGTACGTATGTTTCGACACGTACGATTGGACTTTGATCGCGATGTCAGGATTCGACGCAAGTATGCCGGACGCAAGTCTGTCGGACAATCTCCATCCACACAAAAAGGGAATGACCCTATACAAGTGAGATATCGGTGTTGTGTAGAGTGCAGTAGGGAATAATGCAAGATGTCCCAAAGTACTGCATTCAACACAGAATTGTCGTAGAGGTCGAATCAAGTTCTGTAAACAAGGGATTTTCCAAGGGAAAATCGTTGAACTTACTTTTGTGATTGAATCATCAATTCAAGC